ATCTGGGCTTCCAGTGACAGAAACTAATGCAGTTCTCTTGGATGAAACAGAAGGATAAGACCTTTGGCTTGAGAGGCAACTGGTGAGACACATCATTACAGGGATCATCACGAGCCTCTCACCAGCTGCTGAATGGCCTAATGTGTCAAGGGCCTCGTACAAAGCCACAAGATAAACATCATCTCACTTTTACCTCTTATTTGCTGAATGACAAAAACACAAATTTGGAACCAGATGTCATCATTTAATATTTGTGTGACACTGTGTGACATTTATGTGTAACATTGTTAAATCTAGCTTTCCTATCCCTAAAAGAGAGCTGTTGAATTAAGTGAATGTTTGCATAACTCGAAGGATATGGTTGGCACTTTAGAAATGTTATTCACCTTGAACCTTGCTTCCCTTTACTGTAATAATCTGGTCTTGTGATGGGCAGAGGACAGAGATAACTTAAACTAAGTCACTTTCCAACTGCTTGGGGTCTCTTTGATAACCAGGCTGGGCCATTTTTTTACAGTTAGGGAGAAAAAGTTCCAGGGCAAAATCAGAAGGTTGGTCAAAATCATCAGGCCTGTAGTTTGCTCAGATGAGCATCTGCTATGGAGTGCCCTCCTCAGTGGTCTTTTTCTTTTAGTACTGCTGTTATTAAATTCCTAGTAAGGATCAGCCCTTTTGTACTCCATTCTGGTGTAAGGGTATGTTTTATAGCAATTGGATTTTGTTTTCTCTACTATTTTTGTTGCTTGTAAGGTCCAAAAGGATCAGCTCTACTAAATTTATAATTGGTGTTTAAGGAAATTTAATCAAATTTGTTACTGTTTAAAAGTTAAGAGGTTTTGAAGTTTTATTAGATGTTACTGGGTTCTGGAGTGCTGGAGTCTCCTTCTAGAGATGGTCTCTGGGTTCTTTCTGTCCTAAACCAAGAATTGGTCAAGACAGGCACAAAAGGTTGTGAGGTTTTACATTTATTTAAGAAAAGAAACATTCTCTGCAGAGTGAATTTGGGCCAATCAAAATGACATTCTATAGGATGAGAATGGAACACTGTGAAAAAGAGAGCACAATGGCCAAGAGTTCAGTGGCAGCCATCTGTGGGAACTGTTCTGTGCATGTGTCTCTGTAATTGACAGGTTTCACACCCACTTGCCAGGACCTAATCTCCTGCCTCAAGATGTGTTCACTAAATTGAGCACTAAACTTGATCTAGTAGCCTTAAGTATTCCTCTCAAATCCAAATCCCCCAGACCAGTGCTGGCAAACCCATCAGAGCTTTCGATGCTGACATCCTGCTGCAGCACACGTGCCGTAGGCTTCAATGAAACACACAAAAATAAAACAGATCTCAATTTTTGAATGCTTATATAATTATTATAAAACTATTTTTAAGGGGTAAATGTGCAGTTCTTTAAACTTCACTTTTTAAAAATCATTTTGGGATTCTCAACATTGACAAAAGATATGCCCGTTTGAAATCTTTCTGAAAATGAATTGATTTCTGAAAACAGACTGATCTACTGACAAAACATCCTAAAATATCTGGCCAAATCCAAGCACCCCTATAGAATGAACAGAACCAAGAAAAAGTTAGGTTAAAATTGGGAGTTAAATCAAATCTGTTGTTTAAATGTTTAAGAAGTTTTAAAATGTTCACTTTGGGGGAACTTCTTCAGCTACCGTTTGAGGAAAAGTTCAAGGTGTTTGAAAAGCGAAAGACACGCAATGGCAGTCCCTGGAGCTGAGGTCAGTGAGGGTGCTGCGCGCCCTGGATCTCCCACTGCAAAGCCAGTGTGCACCAGCAAGCAGTCATGGTGATTCTTTTCCTGCTTCCCTCAACAGGCAAGTACTTTCAAATGACAATATGTAAAAGTATAAAGGGTTATTTTTGAAGTTTTCTGAAAGTAAAAGTTCTTACAGTAAGAAGAAATTGTCTCGAATTCATTTGGTAAAAGAAATTAAGCACAAATTATATATTGGGATGATAATCATTTCATTTCCTTAACAAAAAAAAAAAGCAGTCACCAGAATTAAGCTCTTGATTCATTACTCTTGATTCGAAGTGATAATAGCTTTTATGCTACACAGAGTATTTCTGGTTGTTGGCATCACAGAGCTAAGATACACTCAGACCATGCTGCGCCTTCGCACCTGAAGGAGTGGCGGTTATAGTGAATCCCACCAGGGACAGAGGGGAAGTACAAGTGAAATGAGAACTCTATACCACTATTTGGCTTTAGGCTTCATCTATGGTTCTTGAGACATCCAGGCAGGATCACAGAAAAGCCCACTTCTGAAAAGTACCATGACTAACAGGGAAGCAGGCCAGCACAAAGAACACTTACTTAGCGCAAATGTTCAGCAGACTGCGAATGCTGTGAAACCCATAGTGATGAAAAAGCTTCTCTGTGCCTCCTTAATTAGCTCTAAAAGGCCAAGAGTCTTTGTCTCATTCATTCATTCAGCATCTTCCTTGCTCTCCACTGTTCTAGGCCCTATGCTGGCTAGAGGACAAACAGAAACCAGTCCTTACCTTCAATAATTCAGAATGTGACAGAAAAAGCATTTATTTAATCATTGTGACTCAATGTGAAAAAGCACAGAGAAAAGTCACACAGATGTGGCCCTCAAGAAGTCCTGAGCCTAACAGAGTCCTAAGAGGGCACAGTACTAATAATGGTACTTAGCAGCCTAGGAAAAGGATCAAAGGGAGGCTCAGACTGTAAATTCAGGTAGCACAGAGGTGGATGACACATTACCTTTTAATAATGCAGTGGGGAAAACTTACAGCCTACTGGAGAAGACTAAGCAGCTGAATCTGGCCAAAGCAGAGGTGTCATATCCTACAACCTCAGGCTGACCTACTCAACAGACAACAGTGAAAAGTCTCTTACCTATGCCACATCTGAGGGGAGACCAGTGACCTGAATGATCTGGATGGGTAGGAGGCTCCTTCCGCACTGCCCTGTTCTCCCAGTGGTAGACCTTGTATGCTGAATGGATCTATCCTAAGAGTCTGAAGGACAGGGTAGGGGACTTCTTAGGACAAAGGACTACAGCCTACTTGGTCCTCTACTTATACCTAATGATAAAGACCTCCTTTACATTTTTTTTCTTACTCTTCACAGATGTTACCACCTTCCCTAACCTCGGTTAGGGTACCAATAGCTTGACACTGGTCCCAAGGCCATGCAGGCATCAGTGATGGACAGAGTTGGCGTGCCTACAGCTGTCATTGTTGGTCACTTGGAATAGGGACACATTGTCAGCTTCAAGGTACAGGGTTGGGATAGACCTCCTCAGCAGGCCAGGCTGCAAACCCGTGAGGGCCTCTCTCTTCCCATGGGTTTCAGGGAACAGCTCCAACCTGTTGTCATTGCTTTGTGACAGCAGCCATCACCCACCATCTCTCTAGCCTTGGCCTCATGTTTGTGCCACATTCTCTCCTTCCTAAGAGCACCAGGACTCATATCTGCTCTACTTGTTCATCATAGCTGCCACCACCCACTTTTGCTTTTGTCTCTAGTCCACACTGTGGATTTCCTATGCCCCCAAACCCTCTTTGCTCATGGCTCCTGAAATATGCACATAGGCTCTTTCCTACTGCTAGTCACTGAGAAACAAACATGAGGCAAGGGGGAAAGAATAAGAGAGGGCAACTCAGAGATGGGTCACTTATAAGTGCTGTTATTAGACATCTCTGGCTCACACATGCATACCAAGGTCTCTTCCTCAACTGCCTTCTTGGATCATCCTAAAACAGTCTTGTGAGTCTCATTCTTTTCATCCTTTATCCATGATTATAAACTATGCATGTCTAGTAGGGTACAGTGCTCAATATAGCTTTGCTGACCATGGAGTTTCTACCTCTCAGGAGGGCAATACTTTTCTCTTCTTCACCAATCCTTCCTCGTACCACCAAAGCAGCCTATTCCTAGATCCCTGCCACCCTTCACTGGCTAATTTGACAGAAGTCTTCTCTGATGCCGGGCTTCATATAAGGAAGTATTTATGCGTTCTTTTACCCAAAAACTAGAAGGTCCTATATGTTAGCCTAAATGTAAACATCCTTTAGTAAGCAATGGTAAGCTACAATTTCGAATCTAGACAGAGCAGCAGAATGTACCCTGCATTACACATAACCACTCAAGAAATATTGAGACAAAGATGTACGCAAATGACCATAACTTTGTCTAGGCAAGTTATTTTGGCAAAAGTATGAGAGGCAAAAGGAATGTTTTAAGCCACTCTAAGCCACAGTTTTAAACAATATGCTGACATAGGTAGAGTTAATCTCTACTTTCATTCTGTAGGACTGTTATTTGTGGGACTGATGTAACTGCAACTCCAGTCTGGCACTGCATTCCATGACAAAACTTACCCTCCATGGTCATTACCCAGGACTAAGTATACCAATTTAAGTCATTATCTTCCTGAAATAGGGGTCATAATAGCAACAAAAATAAATCTCTCACAATAGAATTCCTGTCACAACAGCAACCTGCCATCATCTGTGAAACCAGCACCATCTAAGTTCAGCCTCAAAGCTATCAGACGGAGAGGCAGCCCTACTTCACAGGTAGTAATTCTAGTATATCCAAACATGCAGTCCCAATTCAGAGGTCTGGCAGTCCAAAGACCTTCCTAATGATGAAGGCCGAATCCATGGATAAAGGAGTAGCTGTGCTATAACAACATTCTGAGTAAAACAAACTTGGGAAAACCCAGCAGCTTGGACAAATGACTCTATGTGCACTGAAAATGCAACTAAAGCAATGACAGGAGCTACCATCACCCCACCTTATAGCCCAATATCTACAAACTATCTACCAGCAGCATTTTTCCCTCGAATTTTATCCCTCCCCTAGCTCCATACACTGCGAGAACCTAAGGGGCAGATACCATGGGAAGTTTTGCTCATTTTTCTTGTAGATTTGTCTTAGAGATAGGGTCTCATTTATGTTGCCCAGGCTGGCCTGGAACTCCTAGACTCAAGAAATCCTCCTCCCTCAGCCTTGCAAGTGGCTGGATTACAGGCAAGCACTGCCATGCCCAGCTTGTCCAATGTTTTAAAGAGCTAACCTATGCGCCTCCCCCAGCAACAGGGACCATCCTAAATGGTTAAATGAATTTCAGGCTCATTTTTCATAAAAGTACTGGTATCAGAAGCAATAATCACCAAAGTCAAGGGCTGCTGGCATTGAGTTTCTCATTTTTCTCCCTAGGAAATTTACTTTCTGGGTGAAGAGGGAAGGTTGAGCAGAGCTGCAAAGCTGGAGAAGGTAAGTGACTTCATGATTCCACTGTCCTGTTCTATTTCTCTTGGATCGAGAGCATGCAGAGCTCAGTGCAGAATCAGAAGGGAAAAAGTGACTTTATTATTAAAAATGAACAAACCATCCAGCTCTGCCTCGATACCTGTATGTAACCTCCTATCTATATGAAAAGTCATTTGAAAAGAGAAATCTTCAGATTTCTATGTGAAGATCAGAGGACTTTATGCAGCAGAACTTGCTGATCATGGAGCATGTAGACACTCTGGCTCTCCTAGTAATGGGAAGACAAGAGACGACAGAACCACTCCTCTCATTTTACAGATGGAGGCCTGGGGCCCAAAGAGTTCCTGTGACATGTCCAAGGTTCTAGAGCAGGCAAGTGGCAGAGCCAAGATGATCATCATCACGGTCTCCAAACTCCCAGTTTAGTGATCTTTAGGATTCAATAGCTATGGTAAAATTTTCATTTTGCTCTTTGAAGGAGAAGTAAAAAATGTTAGGAAGTAAAATATTAAACTTTTGTATTCTCTATAGACATCAGTAACCTCCACTCTCCCTTCTATAGAAAGCTGGATCCCTCGGCCAATTATTTAGTCTTGAACTGGCACAGGTTCCTACGAGGATTGGTCAGTCTTTTTGCACATAGCTCAGGATCTCCTGGTCTGTAAATAGGCGGAAGACAATTTGCTCACACTCCTGGTTGGTTCCACACTCAAATAAACACCCAAACAAGCCCTCGTCCCCCACAGCAGCCAGATCAGAGTAGCCAGAGGGCCCATAGTGCAAGATCCAGGGATGGGACCAACAGGCAGCCTCCAGGGGGTTCTGGTTAAGGTAGATGCCCAAGTCAACTCTCCTTTTCTTATTGGTTGGGTGTGAGTACAAGAGCCATGTTTCTGATGGTGCTCCAGCAACTTCCTCCGGTTTCAGTAAACCGTCCAGCAGAGGGCTCTGCTGAACGGAGGGAGCACTTTTATCCCTAACGTTCTGACTTCTATTTGGGATCATCAGAGGCCGGAAACTCACTACACTGCCTTGACAGCCATGTGGGGGCTCACAAAGCTGTTGGCTCAAGGACTGTGCCTCAAAGTATTCACCACAATCACTGCTGAGAGCCTCTGCCCGGCGCCTGTTTGGTGTCCGGGCACTACAGTAGAGCACAGGGTGACCAGCTGTCCTGGTCACCTCTGCTACTTGGCATTCCACTGTCACCAGGTTCTGAATGGGGCTGCCGTGGTGCCACGTGACCCCAAAGTCATCACTGTAGATCATCAGGGAATGAGGCCTGGCTTTGCATGGGAAGCAAAAGAGCCGGTGAGAGAAGTAGTAGGCATATGCAGGGATGATCAGCCTCCCCGACTGCAGCTGGATGCCATGACCCGGACCCACGGCAAATGTGGCCCAGTGCTTCATCTCTGAACCAGCGACTTCCTCCGTCAAGTCTCTCACTTCACTCCATGAGCACCCGGCATCCTGGCTGCAGATGAGGCAGAGGCGGGCAGCGTTCCTGCCTAACACAATCTGGTGACACTCAGTGACATGGTTCTGCACACAGATGAAGAACAGGTACACATAGCCTCTCTTCTGATCCCAAACAGGACAGGGGTTCATACTCCGATGCCCAGGTAATGTGGCTTCCATCACTGACTCCATGGGGCCCCACTAGACAAGGGGAAGAGAGAGGAGAAGGAAGAAGGAAAAGCAAGGGAGAGAAAAAATGGGAGTGAGATTCTAATGGGAAAGCATGACACTCATTAAAAACATTCATATTTTTCACAGACAAGAAATAAATGATATTGATAACTATAAAATTATAAAGCTCAAGAATTCACTAAATTCTCAAACTTCATAGAATCACTTATAAAGCTGGAAAGAGACAACACTACCTATTGCAAATGATGCCCCTCTATCTAGAATGTTCTTCCTCACTTTACCTGAACTTCCAAATCATCCTAATACCTAACTCTAAAGTCCTGTCCTTTGTGAAGCCTTTCACAAAACCTTATCTCTTTCTCTAATAAGGTATAGCAATTATATAACATTGCAATTTGGGGGTCGTAGGTCTCTCTTAAGACTATTACCCTTCTGAGGGCAGACATCGAATTACACTAATATTGTATCTCCGCTGCCTAGCACACAATAGTAGCTAAATAAAATTTACAAAAAAGAAAGATAAAGAAAAGAAAGGTGGACAAATTATGTTTTAGGCCAATACAAGAAAACTTAAGACAGAAATGTTTTTCCTTCCTGTGCTAGCCTTGTGAGGCAATTAAAAACAGTGTTACTAAAAGTGCAAACATATAATCAGACACCTAGTTCAAGTCCTGCCTTTATCGCTACTGGGAGACAGTGGGTGACTTATATAATCTTACTCTACTTCAATTTTCTCATCAGTTAAATGGAGAACTTAATTCATTTTGAATATATGCACTTTGGAGGTCCATTTGAGGCCTCCAGATAGTGATGTTAAGTGGACAATTGGATATACTGGTTTGGAATATAGAGAGAGGTCTGACTGGAGTCAGAAATTTGTAAGTTACTATTAAGGGGCCAATGGGTATCACTGGCCCTTTAACATCATTGCAGAGAAGTTGTTGTAAAGATACAATGAGGTAGTGCCTAACCGGATATACTACAAAGAAAGGCCTGATCCCCTTAATATATTTTAAAAATAATACTAGAAATTCTGAAGAAAATTTCTAGAACCTTAGAAGAAATTGGGCAAAGGGCAAGATCAGACAACACACAGAAAAAGAAAAAAAAAAAAAAAGAAAATATGTTCGACCCCACATAATAAAAATGCAAGTTAGGGAAAAAAAATAAAATAACAATCTCAAAGGTTTTTAAATATTTTTTAAAATGCAAGTTAGGGCCATGGATTTGGCTCAGGGGTTCTGCCACCTGCCTCACAAGTGCAAGGGCCCAAGTTTGATCCCTGGTACCAAAATAAATAAATTTTTAAAATGCAAATTAAACTGGCATAGCATTTAATTGGCAAAATCATGAAGTTTGATAATATTCCGTTAGAAAAATACAAAGAAACAAGCAACCTCATATATATAGATAGATAGATATAGCTATAGCTGTAGCTGTAGATATAGATAAAGATACAGATACAGATACAGATATATAGTGGAGCCTTGGTTAATGAACACTTTTGTTTGCAAGCAGTTTGGTTCACAAACAAAAGCATTTGGCAAAATTTTGTTGTTTGCAAACTCTACATCAGGTGATGAATAGAACCATGGCCATCTTTGCCACATGAACACAAATGTGGCCATGTTTACCAGAATTATGAAACAAATTAAGTCTGTGAGCTGAGGTATCACTGTGTGTGTTTTGTGTGTGTGTGTGTGTGTGTGTGTGTGTGTGTGTGTGCACGCGCGCATGTTAGGTGGGCATAGTGGTGCATGCCTCTGTGAGCTGAGGTATCACTGTGTGTGTTTTGTGTGTGTGTGTGTGTGTGTGTGTGTGTGTGTGCATGCGCGCATGTTAGGTGGGCATAGTGGTGCATGCTTATAACCCCAGCACTCAGGAAGGATGACGTGGGAGGTCCCAAGTTACAGCCCAGCCTAGGTAATTTAGCAACATAGTGCTGTCTCAAAATAAAACAGTAAAAAGGCTGGGTATGTAACTCAATGTAAAGGTCCTGGGTTACATCTTCAGTACGATGCATAGACGGATGGATGGATGGATGGATGGATGGATGGATGGATGGATGCATAATGGATGGACAGACAGATGGATGGGTATAAGATGAATGGACAGATGGATGAATGGACAAATACAGACACAGACTCCAAACAAAAATCTAGAGCTATAAATCAGCATAGCAATTACTTCTGGGGAGAAGAGAGGGGCCACAAGAGAAGTTTCACAGATGACAATGTTCCATTCTTTAGAATACTGGTAGTGACATTTATGAGTGGTGAGTCCCACGAGTGGTGGATATCACAATTCACTCAGCTGAGCTTTGTGGTTTGTTCATTTAACATTTACGCTGTTTTCTGCATATTTTATCACTTCACATTTTTAAAAGTATTCAAAGGATAGTATTAAAATATATCCTTGTTTTTCTTTGCTTCTATCTGAAGAATCACTGAAAGGAAGGATATACAAGAAACAATAATGACTGTCTATGGACAAGGAGAATGGGAATGAGATGTTACTTTTCATATTGTTTTTCTTTTCAGCTATATGAACTTTTTCAAACAAATAATAACCTTAAAAAATTAATTTCTGCAGGTCTGAGATATAGCTCAGAGGTAGAGACCAGAAATCGGGATTGTGGCTTAATGAGCCACTCAAAGAACCAAAACTGTTTAGCCCAGAAAACAGAAGACTCAAGAGGGCATGAACACGGCTTCCAGGCACTTCAAAGAGTTCTCTGCAAAAGGGATTTTACCTGCACTGTATATGGATTGACTGTGTCAGAGAGCAGAACAAGATCCATAGGTAGCTACGAAGAGATTATCTTATTTAAAATAAATTTAAATTGCCCTTTATAGAAAATGACCCTTTATGGAAAATGACTAATGCTGCATTCTTTTCATGTAAATTCTATTATCAATTACACTATGCAAATGATGAAACAGAGAGGAGTTAAATATCCAAGGTGATGCAACCAATAAATGATAGATCTTGACTTACTCAAAAGACAGGCTCTTTTTTTTTTTGTTTTTGTGGTGCTGGGGTTGAACCGAAGACCTCATGCATGCTAGGCAAGCACACTACCACTGAGCCATATCCTCGGTGCTAAAGCTATACTCTTAACCACTAAGCTGTTAGTGGCCATCAATGGAATATAGGTTGTTATACTGAAACAGAGATTGGACTGATGATTCTTCTAACTTCAAGACTCTGCAAATAAGTGAATGAGAGAATGAAAGTAAATAAAGGGAAGAGAGGACGAATTAAAAGTGGACAAATCTGGGGACTTTAATGTAGAATCCCCTCTTAGTGAGCAGCCACCAAAAGCTTTTTCTTATTATTCCGATAAATATTCTCCTAATTTTCTTCTTTGGTTTGTGATTTTTATTCTTTGATCCTGTGAGACAAAGAATTAGAATTTACATAAAATGTACTGCTTCATAATTTGGAGGTCCCACCAGAATCACCCTGCACTTTGAACCCAGCAAACTGACATGAGAATAATATGGAAGTAAGAGATGAGAATGTTTAACTTTTTCCTTTCCTTCCTCCATTTAACTATGATTAAACTTAGGAGCTGGAAAAGATTTGCATGCTCTAGTTTTATTTACTAGATAGGCTATGTTTCTTCCCTGTAGACAAAGTTTCTGTGCGTTACACAGAAAACTACTGTCCCATTAGGCACTCTCATATTCCTTCTACCCTGTACCTCTCCTGAGAATTAATGCCTGGGTAGGGTGGACTAATTTTTTTTTTTTTTTTTTGGATGGGGCCATTAGAATACAGATGATTTCATTGACAGAACAAAGTTTAGGGACCCAATGGCCACAGAGCTGTGACCCCAAATGCTATAGTCTGTCATTAAAGAAGCTAAAGAGTTCTATTCAGCCCTTTGCAGAAAGCCTTGCTTCCTGCTTACAACTGACAGCCCTGGCCAAAGCGACTCACAGTGGGCCACTGTTTCTTCTTTCAGGATCCCTCTCTCAACACACAACACAGTTGGCAGTGGTAGCTCATCCAGGGTAAATCTGTGCAGACCCCTTCTCTATGGCTGCTGGACTTTTTTTTTTTTTTTTTTTTTTTTGGACTCTTGAGTGATCAAGTTTTCCATCTCTCCAGGATGGTGAGTTTCCCCTTCCAGGTGCCTCACTAATTGTTTTGCTAGCTCATCTGACCTGATCAATCAGACAGTGGCCCCAGCCAAGATAACCTCAGAGTGAAGTTGACCTTCACTGTGGCGGGTTGGCAGAATCCTTCTGTTTGAAGGATGCCTCAGAGGAGGTGCATATTTCATGTGTTCCCCTGGGACAAGAGGTTTGTTACCCTAACGGACACTTTGAATAGATAAAACATCTCCACAGGACCCACAATGGGTCTCACGCTTCCTATTCCCTCTGACTTACTCCTCCTAGGGTATATTTTTAAAAACTGGTCCACATAATGTTAAATGAAATAAATCAGACACACAAGCTTAAATATCACATGGTTTCTATGATAATGAGAAACCCGAAATATAAATTAAAGAGTAAAATAAAGTTAGATAAGAAGTAGAGATACACATTTCTCATACCACGAGATGGGGTAAGGGAAGAAAAGGAGATGAAAAAAAGAAAGTAAGATGTGTTATGTGCATGTACCGACTCCCCAAAAGGAATGTAAACATTATGTTCTGTAAACGTGTACTAAATAACAAACAAAATACTGAAAACTGGTCTAGATTCAATCTTCAAACTCTTTTAAAAAAAAAAGCATGAGAAAAGGTGGTTGCCAGAGAAACATATAAATTACAACTGTACCTTTAATAGGTCTGTGCCTTTGGAGGAAACATTTACATAAGAAACAGCTGTGCTTATCAGCTGGTATACTGGTGGCCTGAACCTATGTTATTGTCATGTTATTGTGTTTTTCTTTTAAGACAAAGATGTTAATGCAGAGTTGTTGTTTTTCTAAACTAAAACCTCAGTATTCCGGTTTAATTACAATGTTGTACTTTGTAATAAATAAGTGGATTT